ACCCTAAATCCTAAACCCTAAAGGACACCCAGCCTGGCCTTGCTTCTTACTGATATGGAGAGTTGTAAAATTAGGGTCACTTTGGGGGTCCCTTTTTATAAGGGTGCCCCAAAAAAGCGGAAAACTACCCTTTTAGAAGTTTGAAAACGTTAGCCCGAGCCTCAACCCCCAAACCCCAAACCTTAAAGCCCTAAACCCTAAAGCGCTAAAACCCTAAACCCTAAACCCTAGACCCTGAACCCTGAACCTAGAAGCCCAAAAGCCCTGAAGCCCTAAAGCCCTAACGCCCTAAACCCTGAACCCTGAACCCTAAAGCCCTAAAGCCCTAAGCCCTAAAACCCTAAACCCTAAACCCTAAACCCTAAACCCTAAAGGCCTAAAGCCCCAAAGCCCTAAAGCCCTACCGCCCTACAGCCCTAGCGCCCTAAAGCCCTAAACCCTAAACCCTAAAGCCTTAAAGCCCTAAACCCTAAAACCCTAAACCCTAAACCCTAAAGCCCTAAAGCCCCAAAGCCCTAAAGCCCTACCGCCCTAAAGCCCTAGCGCCCTAAAGCCCACCACCCTAAAGCCCTAAAGCCGAATCTCGACGCGGAGGCCGTGCTGGATGGGGAGATGGTGGCCTGGGACGAGGTCTTGCCTGTCAGGGTTTTAGGGCCTTTGGGTTTAGGGTTTTTGGGTTTAGGGTTTAGGGTTTAGGATTTAGGGTTTAGGGTTTAGGGTTTAGGGTTTGGTGTTTAGTTTAGGGTTTTGGGTTTGGGGTTCAGGGTTTAGGGTCCAGGGTTTCAGAAGCTTAACACGCATTGATCAGGAGATCTAGCACGGACCATACTTAGGACCCAAAACCCTTAACCCTAAACCCTAAACCCTTACTTAGGACCCCACTAGTACTGGGGGTTGAACCGGAGCGAGTTTTCAATGTCGATGATCCCTGTATCCTGTACCCATCGCAAATCCGGGAGGCTCCATATATAGTACCATTACGGAAATAGGTCACTAAAGCCTTAATAAGGATAGTCTTTTGGGACTTAATTCCATAATGGTACTAGATGTGGAGCCTCTCGGAAAGGCATGCAAGTCCAGATCTCAACAGGTTCCCAGATTGGGACTGGCATGAGCTTCGGGTTTAGGGTTTAGGGCAGTTCTTATCGGGATGCAGTGGGCACTTCAGAGGGAGGATCGTGCCACTAGGGCTGAGGGCTTCGCAGTTTACCTCAAACTCAAAACCCAAACCCTAAACTAGTTTATGGGTTTGTTTTTTTTGTTGTTTGTGTGGGTTTGGGATCAGGTTCGCAGTTCCTGGACACCCTCAGAGATCGGGCTTCGGGCTGCAGGATCCGGGTGATACAATAGAACAGCGGGCCACGCGCAAACACATGTGTGACGGTATGCTATGTTTTAGGGTTTAGGGTTTGTTTATCTCGTTTGGAACCTTAAGAACCCTTCTCTGCCTGGACCCTTCTGGTAAGGAATATCAGATTATCCACAAACACAACTTGGAGGATCTTGGGACTTAGTGAGTAGGGTTATAAGTACCCCAATTGGGGTTATAAGTATAGCGACCTTGTTTATAACCTGAGTTGCTAAGTCCCATGATCCTCTAAGAAAGCGACAGGGCGAGCAAGCGTTCATCGCCTTCGGCAGCAATCGGACGGTAGCCGGTCGCTCAGTGCGCGAGGCTTCCCGCTGCTTTCTTTGCCGTTTCCTTTAGGGTTTTAGGGTTTAGGGTTTAGGGTTTAGGGTTTAGGGTGGGCTTCTTCAGCGATCAATATGGCTGCAGGGGTTCCCTATTGGATCTACAGGGGTTTAGGGTTTAGGGTTTTGCATAGAGTTTCGGGTTGGGGTTCTTTAGGGCTTTCTGTAGAGTTGGCTAAGTTTTCTTGAAAGGTTTGAATCTTACGGGTTTAGGGTTTAAGGCCTGGGGGGTTTAAAGGTGTTGATACGTGGACCCTAAACCCTAAACCTCCAAACCCTAAACTCTAAACCGTGTATTTATCGCGTTTCTTTCAAGAGACCCCTGAACCCTTGCACCTTAAGGCATAAAGCCCTGAACCCATCAAGCCGAGGCACAAATGGGCGATCCTTCGAAACATCTCTGCTTCCTGGTCTCCTCGGCCCACTTGGGGGTTTCCGAAAATACGGGGTACCTTAATATTGGGGTCCTTATGATAAGGATCCTACTATGTGGGGTACTAGATTAGGGTCCTAAACCCTAAACCCTAAACCCTAAACCCTAAACCCTAAACCCTAAACCCTAAACCCTAAACCCTAAACCCTAAACCCCCTATTTTCGGAAAGCCCCACTTGGGGGCGTCAGCTTTGCTTTGGCAGCTCTGGGTTTGAGCCTGTTGTTTTGGATTTAAGGGTTTAGGGTCTAGGGTCTAGGGTTTTTGGGTTTAGGGTTTTTGGGTTTAGGGTTTCGGGTTTAGAGTTTCAGGGTTTTTAGGGTTGAGGGATTTGGGGGGATTTGAGGGATTTGAGGCCTAGAGGTGTGGGGCTGTGAGCAATTTTATAGTTGACGGCTTGGGATTTTGATGACCGAGCCTTCTTGAGTCTACCCCATGCCCTCGTCAGGTACTATAAGGGTCTTGATACTTAGGGTCGGCTTTGGGGGTATATTGCACTATGATTGCAACAAGGAACCCCCAAAATAGTATAGGTAATTATCAAGGCAGAGGGTAGTTCTCTAAATTAGGGTCCCATGTAGGGTCTTTTTTGGCAAGGGTGCCGCCTCCTTTTGGGTTTCTATCAAGGGGCCAGCTGCTACCCGAATGCCGACAAACTCGAAAGCTTTGACCCGAAACCCTAACACTGAACTGTAAACCCTAGACCCTAACCCTAAACCCTAAACCCTAAACCCTAAACCCTAGACCCTAAACCACAAACCCTTAGCCACCAGCCGCTGGATGCTACACCACACAATCCGCGTGGCAGCTGTTTTGCTTTCAGCTATCCGCATGAACAAAGAAGACGCAGGATGAATAAGAGCAAAGTTTCAGAGTTCGGGATTTACGCTTTAGGCTTTAGGGTTTAGGGAAAGACAGACATCTCAAAAACCAGGACAAAATGTTATTGCAAGTTCTGAGATTCTGAGGTCTCCGAAACGGCCTGTTTGCCAACCCTAGACCGAAGTCCACTTCAGGGCATTCGTTTAGTGACTGCACGTAACCCTTGGCAATTCGCAGCCTGCTTGGGCTGCCGAGAGACGCGACCATGAACAAACAGGCTGGGTGTATTTCCTTGTTTTTTGGTCTTGGGGCTGTGGGATTCGGGGGTTCGAGCCCATTGCCTAAACCCTAAACCCTAGACCCTGAACCCTAAACCCTAAACCCTAAACCCTAAACCCTCTATTTTTCAGTCCGGCGGTTTTATCAAGACTTCATCGTTCCCCTTAGCCGGGGGCCTTCGGGTATCTCGGCGAAGCCCGAACATCTCAGCCCCTAACCTAAACGCGAAGCCCCAAAACCGAAGCTACTGTTGCTGACAAAAAACCTGCATTACCCTAAGGACCCTAGACTACGGGAGTTATGGTCGCGTTCTAAAACCTAAACCCTAAACCCTAAACCCTAAACCCTAGACCCTAGACCCTAAAGCCTAAAGCCTAAACCCTAAACCCTAAACGTGGCTTGGAGCTCTGCTCCGAGGCGCTGGTTGCAGCCTACATCTTCATCATCACTGTGGGAGGCCAGTCAGTGTTCAGGGTTGAGGGGTTTAGGGTTTAGGGTTTAGGATTTAGAGTTTAGGGTTTAGAGCCCAACATACCTCAAGTGAGTAGTATACCTGAAATCCGAATCAGAAGCCTTATAGAATTTGAGATCGACTGCTTGATTAAAGGTATTGGGCTCTTCGATTATGTTGGATGGACGAAACCCTGCACTATCTGTAATAGGGAAGACACCATGTTTCCCGTAGCCTGGGATGCGTAAGATGAGCAGTATGTTCGCAAGAAATTCTGAGACTTTCTTGTGCGTTGGCGGCCTTCATTGAACCACGAACCTATAAAACAAATATTCTTGGACCCTACTTGGAGGATCTTGGGACTTAGTAAGTAGGGTTATAAGTACCCTACTTGGGGTTATAAGTATAGTTACCTTGTTTATAACCTCAGTTACTAAGTCCCATGATCCTTTAAGTATAGTACCTGTACATGCATCGGAATCCCACTGAGGTACATGGACGGACCCTTAAGGGTAAGCCGAGGCGCTCGTCACGCGATATTTACGGGTGTTTAGGGTTTAGGGTGTACAATGGCCAGAAGAAGAAGTCCCAACGTCCACTGTCCCAGATCAAAAGTAGCTTGGCCTTAGTCTCGACTTGGGTCACATCTTCCGCTATTCCGCAGAAGACAGCACGGCACGGTACGGCTTGAACGGTCAGAGCCCTTGATTGTGGAGTGTGAGTTCAACTTCATAGGCTATGAGTTCTGGGCCGAAGGATGCAGTATAGGTTGTGGTCCAGATACAACCAAATACGCACATATTCCCATCAGCACAGTTTCTGCGAGGTTTGGCTGGCAGGTACACTCAGGACCCAGGAGGATTTATGATGACAGGCACAACATTTAGTCCACCAGCTACCAAGCCTCCTTCGTCTAGCATTGATCGGGGGAGACCAGACGTATTGATAGTTCTTCTTTGCCTACAAGCGAGATGATCGGATGCGCGTCCAGCTGGACCGGGCTGGGTCCAGACGCCTGGATACTTAGCTGCCGTGTTAAAAGCTCGGGATTGCACCCGAGATCCGGCAATGTCGTCGACGTCAGCCAGGTTCCTTGTCGCTGGGGCAGAGTTTAGGGTTTAGGGTTTAGGGTTTAGGGTTTAGGGTTTAGGGTTTGGCAATGATTCGAAGGTGCTGGCGGTAGTGTGAAGTTTTAATGTCGCGGATCACCGACCCTTCTATGAAGCCCGTCTACAACCATGCTGATTTTCCAGGCCCTCAGACGAGCAATACGTATAGGTGTGAGGTACCATGAACCATGCATAGTCCCAATTTCCATGCCCCAAAGGCCCATAAGCATCTGAATATTTGGGTGGTTGTCAAAATTATGGTCCCTTTTTGGGTCCTTATAATAATACGGCACCTATTATTTAGGGTACCCCAAAAAGGACCATAATTTTGACAATTACCCATTTGGGGTCCTCAAAAATGCTCGTGAGGTCTTGCCGGCCAGAAGGGTGCGGGTCTTTCCTTGGCCTGCTTTGCAGGCAGTCTGGCAGTGAA